AAGGAATTAACTTCTACTGGGAGCAGCCAATGAGGTGCACATCAATAATTAGAGGTTCAGGGGCTTCATGCTCCTGTTTCCTTACATCTCTGCCAACAAGGATAAAAAGTGCCCAAGAAGTGTCGACGTTGCTGCCATGCAGGGAGGGAACCAAGCCCCACATCCAAGGAAAGGAGTATGATGGCAGAGGTAAGGGGCAAGCAACCAGAGCAGTATGCGTGCCTAGACCTGAATATTGGGGTGTGTCTGATTTTTGTCTCGTGAGGTGCCAGTGTGTGCTGGGATGGCAGAACGGAATCGCAGCCCAGGACAGCCACACTGAGGTGCACAGGACCATGCTGGATCGGGACCTGGATGCGGGGAAGAGGCAGCAGAGCTGGAAATGCAGGGTCAGAGCAGTTCAGCCCCATATTCAGAGGGGCTCCAGTCCTAGTCCTTGTTGAGATTAGTCTTTGCATGGGTACTTACAAATAAATCCAGGACACTGCTTGCGTAACAATAACATTTTGCAGTATCTGGCATTTGCCGCTAGTTGAAGGCTAAGCAAACCATGCTTCAGTGGAGCATAAAATTGCTTTTCCTTTGGAACAAGCAGGGCATTGTAGTAATAGGCAAAACTGTACATTGTGTTAACGGCTGTATTTTCACATTATTGATTTACATTGTGTAATGCCATGCAAGACCTGCTTTCAATGATATGTGCATCTGTCATATCACAAGAACTGCAAAGCTCTGGGTGCTGCTCGGAAGAATGAAGTGCTGGGGATCCCGGGGCAGATTCCCACCCATGTGCCCAGCATGCCGAGGTGATGATTAGGGGGATGTTGTGGTAATGAGCAGGTCCCAAGTGTGCACTATGGAAATCAAGGCTGCCTGGGTCAGCTTCCACTTGCTGTGCACATCCAACTTTTTCAGCCTGCTTACTCTTGTGACAAGGAGAGCGGATGGAAATGCTTCCCCTGGCAGGTCCCCTCGGCTGTTTGTGTTTCAAGGTATCCAAGACAGATGGGCTGCACTTCTTTTCCCCTCTCCTTTCCCACTACTTTCTGCAGGGGCCAGATCTGCACAGCCCTGGCATGGGGATGCCTACCAGCAGAGCAGTATGAGAAAGAGCCACCAATGAAGCCAGGGAGGGTTGTCACAGGAATTTGTTTCAATTGAAAAAGTGGGGCACATTTCACCAAATTCTTATTTCACACAATCCAAAATAAAATCAAAGATACAGCATAATCTTAGTTATTACTACCATGAACGGAAAGAAAATTTAAGCCAAGGAAAGTTTTCACTCTTTTATCATTGATTTTTCTTTTTTACTATTTACTCTGGTGCATTTGCATTGATTGCTTTTGAGGCTGCTCTATTCTCCAGACGTAAAAGTCTCTAATGATCAAGACTTTAACACTGCACATTGTTCAAAATGTTAGTTGTCATCGACAGCTCACAGAGGCAGTGCAACTCTGAACCTGGGTCTCAGAAGGTAAAAGTCTTTTCAGTTTGTCTTTAAATACTTGGAAAAATCCCGTTAGCTTTCTCCATACCATCAAAGCATTTGGATAGCATAAAGCAACTGAATACATAAAAAATGTATCTAAACACCTTGTAAATCCTCACACAGAGATGCTGCTGCCACTATTTTAACCCTAGGAAAACATTTCACCAATTACTGATCAACTACAATACAGCTAAATTTCACTGCCAGCACATCATTTTGATAATGGGTATGGAAATTATCCATTCAATAGCTATTCAGAAATAACTCAGAAAGATTGGTTTTCAGATTCTTCTGAGAATCTTAGAATAATCCCCTATAATCACCGTGGTGAGAATCCACCAACACTTTTCCCTTTGAAAAAGGCTGTTTGGGGCAAGAGCGTTGGTGGTCTCTGCCTGTCCTGCAATGGATGCGTTCAAACAAAATATCTGAAGTCAAAAGCACTTTTTTGGCAGAGGTCTGGGGGTTTCACACTCTTAAATGACTCAGTTAAGAAAAGGAGGAGGCTTCATCTCTCCTCCATCAGCTTGGCTTCTCAGCTGCACCTCAGCAACCCATCAAAATAAATTTTCTTCCTTTCTCACAAGACAAACTTGCATCATTTTCTATCCAGAGTAAGGAAGAAACAAAACAAACAAAATAAAGTACCTAAAATAAGCAATAACTACACTTTGCACTTCCCTGCTGCTCTGTGACAGCTGCTAAATGTGAACCAGGAGAATTTTAGATTGTTTCAATTTTATGATCTTTCTTGCTGCTTGGTATAAGCCTGAAAGGATTCACTCTTTCTTCTTTAGGGAAAGACATGGTTTTCTGCTTTACTGTACTGATTATGTAGATGTAAAATTTGATTTGACTAGAGGAGATGAAACAGGGACATTTTTGGATGAAAAATGTTTTCCTACTTGAAAATAGTAATTCGATACCAGACATGAGCATAACCAAAAGAGACCCTGATGTGTCTAAAGCTTTCCTTTCCACTTCAGCAGCACAGTTTTTGCTTCTTTATGAATTTCTGCTGCCCAGGTACCACAGAGTCCTTAGGCCAAGGAGAACTGAGTTTCTCTCTACGTGCATATAAAGCGCTCTGGGGATCCTCTGCCCTTGTGTCCTCCCTGTCACCCCCTCCTCAGCAGAGATGTCCCAGCTCCCCTGCCACCCCCACCACAGTGCCTGTCCCCAGAGGGAGACACAGCCTGCCCATCTAAAGAAATGGGCAGCTATGGCCAGCAGTGCTTTTCTTCCATCCCAGGACCAGGCTGCTTGTTTGCATGGCTAATTATGCCAGGGGTTAATTGGGGGCATCACAGCATCCCCTGGGAAGCTCAATTAAAGACCAGCTTTCATCCCACAGGTGAGGACTGTAGCACACACACACAGACTGTTGGGAACACTGGTCTCTGTGGTAGTCCACTACCATGGGGGAAAAACAAAAGTGTCACTTGCCCAGGGAAAGGCTGCAGCACAACCAGGCCCACATGCTCCCAGCCCACACTAAAAAAGCAAAGCCATTCTCTCCTATCCCAAAGCTGCAGGGTTCATACCCCAAAGGGCAGTGCATAGGGGTAAAAGAGTTAAACCAGCAAAACACTATCATGAAAAAAACCTTTTTAATAGCTGCACACAATAGTTTTCGCTCAGAAGCAAATTCAGCCAAAAGAGCACAGGCACAGGCATCCACCCCAACAGCCCTGTGCTGGCCACCATAAAACATCCTCCATCACAGGACTAACTTGTTTCATAAGCAAAACCATTCCCAAATGGATTGCACACCAATGAGTGAATCACACACCAAACTTGCTCACAGTACCACACTGAATCCTAAGGGTACAAGGAGAGGCTGACGGCAGCTCAGGACTGTCCCTGGAGAAGCCAAGTCTGCCAAAGACAGGGGCTAATTTGTGCATGTGCTGTTTGCTCTGTGGCAATGGGATCAGGAATGCTTTGGGGAGGCTGCACAGAGCCAGGCAGAGCTGGGAGAGGTGGCAGTACTGAGACCCGAGATGGAGAGCCTGCATCCTCCTCTCTGGGCTGAGCCTTCAGCGGTGAGAGAAGTTGGATGTGAAGAATAAACAATCCCCCCAAACCTCTGGGGTTTCCTTGCACAGGAGGAAGCGTGGACTTAGCAGCAGGACCTGAAATTCCTGGGCAGCACTTGCAGGCCGTGCTCCCAGCCAGGCCGTAGGGGATGGGGCAGCCAAGGAGACCCAGCAGCCCCAACATCTGAGGAACAATTTAAACAGGCTAGGCAGCACTCAGAGCAGCCTTGCTGCAGGCCCCTTTTTGTATCAGCTTTACCTTCCAGGCAGGATTATTGACCTTTCCAGTGCAGTATTTAACCATCTCCATTCATCCCCACTTTTCCCTTCCCTCACACTTCATTCCCTTTGTTGTTCTACCATAGGAGAGGCAACAGGGCACATATTTCTGCAGAACAAAGCATTATCATCCTAACTATAGTTTCCTGGTATTTTTTTTCACTTTTACCATTTTATTAAAAACAATTAGCTGGGAAAAAACATTTTTTTTAGTCTCTACATGATTGTTCTCATTTCTCTCTGAGTCCAAGGAGGTCTTTTCAGAGGTTATTTTATTCGTAATTATATATGTTGGAACAACTGCTCAGAAAGTGAGCCCAGAATGGATTCTGACAATACTTTCCTAGCAGACTTGCTCCTGCTACCTCCGAAGCGTGTAATGCTAATGATTTAATAAAATGTATGTGAAAACAATGGCTTATTTTCAACAGCTTGTGTAAATGATGGATGCATCCATGCCAGGAGCATCGGCCTAATGGACTGAGGAGGAGTTGGAATCACAGCAAAATCAGGAGCCAAAGACTTTTGCTTGGCTGCCAGACTTGGCTGCCCTGACTGTGCTGAGGCTGCAGGCAGGTACGAGCATGAGGATAACACAGCAAGGGATGATGATTTTCCAAGATGAAGATCACAGCTGTATCTGTTTGTACTCAAAACCTGCAGGACTCTGTTGCTGGTGTGAACTGGAGGAGGACTGGTCCCATGGTCTCATTTGGCCCCAATGCTCCAAGCCTGATTTAAGCACAGACCACTGCAGCAGAAAGATGCCTTCTGGAGTTTTTGGCAAATGTATAATTCTTATTCCAAAGCTTCACCCCTGCTCCAGTTCTCTCTGTTTACCCTATAGGCTTTTATTTAAAAGAGTACAGTCAGAGAATTGCAATTTTTTCATTTGAAAGAGATTTTTGAAAATGATTTTATTTTTTACACCGTGAAAAAAATCTTTAAAGTGTATCATATTCAGTCAATTGGCTCTTCACATTTTTTTTTTTTTCAAACTTCCCCTCCATCACCTTTGTTAATTACCCACCATTTGAACAAGGGTCTTCTCCTGCCTTGATCCTGCCGTGAAATCATGATGCTATATTTGTCTTTCTAACATCAAAGTCATTTCCATGGTCACCAACTGTGATGTCATAAACACATTTTTAATGGCTTGTTTACAGCAGGGAACAGAAGGAGAGAAGAGATTATGGGTGGAAGGAAACTCTTATCGATACACCACAGTTTTAAGCACAACTGTGAGGCTGAAGCAAGCAGAAAACTTGAAGCCAAAAAAATTCCTTGCTGAAAGAGCTTCTCTTTCATAGTTCATCCCAGCACAAAATTCCCTTTTGAGGTTCCTCGTGAACAAGCAATCCCAATGGATTACTGTTATGTCAGTCAGCCCAGAGTTGTGTGAGTTGCTTTGTAAGACTGGAAGGCAGCAAATCCATGCCCCAATCCTTTTGTCTCCCTGCACAAACAAACACACAAACACATGCCCAGAAACTCCTACAGAAGTGCTTGGGCAGGGCATGGGGATCTGAACACTTGGCCCACAGCTGTACCTGTCTCAGGGCACAAGGATCAGAATTACCCCAAGAGACTTCAGCTGGACCAGAGGGTCCCTTTTTGTCACAGGTGATGGCTGTGAGATGCCACAGGGGGTTCTCCCTCTACATGGGGGTTACCACGCGCAGTCATCACCCAGGAGAAATGTTTCTTTCAGCAGAGAAGACGCCAGTTCCAACCTGAGCTTTTGGCTTCGAGAATATCAGGAACCTTCACGCTATGTGACCCCACAGCCCAGCCTAACTGGTCAGCAGAGAGCTGCAAAAGTCTCTGCTTGGAGAAGATTTTCCATACTGGGGTCCCAGTTAGCTGCAGGGTCCCTGCTCTCCTGCCAGGACCATCCCAGTGGTACCCCCTGGGTGAGCCAAGCTCTGCACAGCCTGCCATCCTCCTCCACATCTAGCCTCCTCCAAGAAAAATCTGTGAGTAAAACTCACCCCAGAGCCTACAGGAGGAAAGATCGGGGCTGCTTCAAGGTGTGGAGCCAACCTTGGAGACAACTTGGCTGTCTCAGAGACATGATGGTAAGGCTTCCCTGTACATGTGCTCCGAGGAGATTATCTCCCTCCCCTGCCCAAAGAAAACACAAGAGTGAGAGGAAAAAACTCACTGGACAATGAAATTCCTAAATCCTCATCCCATGAGAAGAATTAATGTAGCTCTTTCCCCGCTCCAATCCCAGGAGCTCCCCAGTAGGAAATCCTATTGTACCCTCACACTAGCAAGGGTACGTGTCTCAGTGAGCTCTTTTCCCAGAGTGAGCACTGCCTCTGGCATGCAGGAGCTGGGATTTCACACACCCTGTTCATCACGAGGCATGGAACAAGGGAGCCACCATTTTGCTGCAGTCCCACAGCAGGAATAAAATGGTGGCATAGATGAAAACTGCCAGATCAAACACAATCCAGTTGCCTGTCACCACCTGCAGCTCTTCTCCGCCTTACATGTAACACTGAATTCTTAATCAGGTTAATATTTGATTTCTGGGTACTTAAACACAAAAAAAAAGCCCAAAAATAAATACCACAAAAAACCTCACATAAACAATATAATGCCATAACAGATATTAAGGTTGCAAACATAAAGTACCGAGATGCAAACTATGGATGTCAGAATTTACATTTTCCCCACAAAATGGCAAGTCTGCAGCTCTGATGTTTTTCACCACTGGCTCACCCAAAGCCACCCAGAACAGGTAGCTTGACACATGTTTACCATAAAAAGGTTCAGTATCTTTTCTGGTAGCTTTTGGGCAATGTTACAGCAGCAGAGAAAGCCAGAAGTGTTAAATTAGCTGCAATTAAACAGCCCCCTCCCCATTTTACACCAAATTGCTGCTTAAATACTTTCTGGAAGGCATTTCTAGAGGATGAAAGGAAAGTAGGCTGGTATGGGGTTTCCAGGGAGGACAGTTACTGCAGATCAGGCAGAACTGAATTTGCTTTTTTTGTTTGTTATTTTCACATATCTTTTGCTCACACACAGAATAAAGCTACCCTAAAGCCAAGCCTAGGCTTAGAAGCAGTGCTTTTTCATTGCTTGATCTCCCAGGCTACAAAAATCCAGCCTTGTGAAGGAGCAGGTGTTGCCACTGCATAACAGTCCAAGTTTAGCCTAAAATATAAAGGGTGTCTCTACAGCACTAAATAGGGAAGCTGCTTCTGATGTATGTGTCCCTGCTTTTCACTTTTCTGACCCACAGAAATGCCAAATAGAACAGGAGATTTGAACAGCTCATGCCTGAGTAGGAGACTGGCTTGCAGATATTTGCCACAGCTTGTGAGAGTAGGGCAGAATGTGACTGTAAAGTGCACTTGCACAGAACAGTTTAAAGACACTGATGGAATTTTGGTTTTAGCATTAATCAATGCTAAGGGCAAATCCACAGTAGAGGTGATCAGATGCCAGGATGGACAATGGTTAACTGCACCTCAATCTGCAGCAGAGGCTGTGAAGATCTGGGTCTGGCTAAAGAGCCAGCAGGATCTCCCTTACACAGCCACAGACTGGGATTTCCATGCTAGCAAAAACCCCTCTTTTCTTTCTACGTGCTGCTGCCTTTGGCTCCCCCTAATTTTTGCTATGTATCATTTCTTTAACCCCCTTGCATTGGACTGCCAGACTCTTAACTCAAGCTTCCTGACCCAGCCTTCCTTCAGGATTTCAGGGGAAGAGAGGAAAAAACCAAACTCAAACAAACAAAAGGAAGCTCTGACACCAAGCAACCCCTCTGCAGGAAACATCACACAGTTGGGTTATCATCCCAAAATCCTTACCTCTCACCCCAGGGACACACATAATGCTTTTGGGAGCAAGTGAGAGCTGAAGGAGACACAGCAGCCGTTCAGGAGCAGGAGAAGTTGTCCCATCCTGAAGACACCTGGAATTATTTCCATTTTATTTCTAGGACTTCCATATGCATCTGCCTACAAAGTGCTGGGTGAAAGATGTGCTTTGAGGAGAGGCTTGAAGGAGAAGGCAACGGTGGAGAGAAATGGAGAATGTTCCAGGAGGAGGCTGCCAGTGATTACACATCACCCACAAGTGAAATCAACTGCTCATCCTCAGCTTCTGTTTCCAAATGTGATGAAAGCATGGGGAAAGGATGCTATTTGTTAATGCTTTTCACAATAAAATATTAGAAATAATGGTTTTGAGCATTTAGTTTAGTAAAACAGGATATTTGCTTAAGCAAAAGAACCCAAAGTGTCAGTCTGTTATTATATTGGATGTAAGATGGGATCATTAGAATTCTCCTGTATATTGAGCAGCACCAGAAAATGCCCATCATCAGGCATTTCTACCACCCCCTGGGAGAGCAATTGAACAGACAAAACTCAGCATCAAAACTCAGTGGCAAAAAAACCCCCACCCTTCTGATTTCAAAGACAGAAGGATTAACACCCAAGTTATTAAATTAATAGCAACCGTGAGGGAAAATATTGAATGTCTTTGCCTTGGCTTGCTGTGTTTTTCTGAGAAAGCTGCAAAAGGAAATTTGTCAGGGGTAACAGCGTATGTTGCTCCTAGAGGCAGCCATCTGGGATGCTGAGAATAGTATTTTAGATTTCTATTATCTGAAACTCCACTGGCAGACTTTGCAAAAAGGTGTTTATAAATTCTGTAGTGCAGATTAAGTAAAACTATTTAAGCTAGGGACTAAGAAATATATGTAATTACCATAGGTGGATAATGCTTTTTCATTGACATTCACCAAAATTAGTTTACCAGATATTATTCCTAAGAGGTATAATTAAAATCAACATAAAATCCAGAACACAGTGAAAATAAAACATTAGGAGATAATGTCTTTAAAATTACTAGTCCTCTGCACTGCAGTACAAGCATAATCACTCTCTGGCTAGCAGTGTTTGTTTTCTCTGTGCAGGGATGCTTTGAACTCCCAGGCTTCCCAGCCGAGCTGGTGCTTTGCAGCCCATTGTAAGGAGCAGATATTTAATGACTCTCCATAATAAACTCCTTCTCGAAATAGCAAGTGAGAGAACTTCACTGAATGCGGGGTTTTGACACATTTGGTCTCTGTGTTACTCCCTAAACTTCCACTGAAAGCAGACTGGAAGCCTCCATGGCTCTTGAGGAAGGTTCAGATCTGGACCCATGTACCTGTCATTAACTCCTGCCCTGGCAAAATGTTCAGGGATGAAAATGGGACTCGTGCCAGGGTTTTCTTCCCTGCCACTTAATGTTCAATCCCATACTGAATAGCAGGAGAAGCATTTCAGAGCCAGGCACTTGTACCAGATGTTTAATCCTGTTTTTTGCTCTTACAGAAGACATAACCTGATGTTAGATGCCACCTCTCGTTATAAATGTCTGGCCTTCCTTGTTAATGAAGGACTTTGTTTTCTTTTTGCAAATGTTATTAAGCAAAGAACAAACTGATTGTCTAAATTGATTAAGCAGATTCATTCCAGTGAAAAATTTATTATTTGCCTAGTTCATTTCATCAAATCAATTCAGAGGAAAAAGGCTCCATGAATTAAACTAATCACAAATATATATTTTAAAAGCCAGTTGTTTCTGGCAGGATACAGTCAATCACTGAGACAATAACTGAATTTTAAAGTAGCATTTTGCATAGCTTCTCAGAAGCTTCTTTGTTTTTTCTTTCAGAAAATGGGTGTTTTGGGGACAAATTCTTCCCCTTGTTAGTCCCATACATTCTGAATAAGCTTCTCTGGATGCCCAGGAGTCATTCTTGGTGAAAAACTCAAAATACTTAGCTGTCATTTTCTATAAAACCACAATCATACACTAATTAGAAAGCTAACTGTGATAGATTAATAAGAATTTCTGATTGCTTCAGTCCAAACTCTTGAAAAATAGCTATTTATAAAAACAAAATCTCATTAATTTATTAGGCTGAACACACACATTCATAAGCCTCACTCACATCACAGTCAGAGAAAATTCCTGTATAATTTTTTGCAGGACACAGATGGAAAATCAAGCCCAGAATGCTAATATTCAATTCAGTTAAAAAGAAAGATCAACCACCATATTTGTATTTCTCCAGCAAATGATAGACAAGCTTTGGGCTTTTTGTGAATAGATGTGTGTCCACAGACACACATGTATTTTATAGATTTTTTTCCCTACAAAGGTAACTTTGAAACCAACATTCAAGGACAATCTTTTGTTAATCATGTAGATCTTTGTGAAGATATTTGTTGCAGAGGGCTCGCTAAAAGCACCCAGGTCTCACTTAACAGATGATCTAATAAAAATAATTCTCCAGCTTTCTCTTCTTTACAGCTGTAAGCCCAGAGGTGCAGCAGCAGCAGCATCACTGCCAGGAAGCCCCCTCAGCGTGGCCACGACTCTCATACATTGCAAGAGTTCTACAAAGATGTGAGCAGGTGGTGTGTGGTACAGCCTGGAGACACCTCTGTCACATTTCCATCTTGGTCTCAGGTTAACAGTTCAAGTCTTTTCTTACCAGATGCTTATATTCAGTCCCACGGCTTTTTAATGATGCCAGTTTCAGGTAACTCCAAATTTACCTGTCTCTTGCTGAACTTTGTGAGAGCAGTTTTTGGCTGCACTCACGGCTCAGACCCAGGCACAGGGACACCAACAAGCACTTTATAATTACAGCTCCTTGGTCTTCTCTTCCTTTTTCAGTAACTTCTCTCTAAAAGGCAGGGGAAATATTGCCTCTGCCCGTTGTGCCCCCGAAGGCTGAATTTGTGGGGCAGATGTTTGGTGGGTCAGCTCACGTCTTGGTACCTGTACTTGTTGTCAAGTAGAATTTGGGGTCTTAAACAAAAGATTTACAACAGCACAGAGAGAAAAGGCTATAAACACTGGGGCATGAGCAATAATTTAAAAGCAGGTGGCACAGGCAATAGCAGCAAAATTCAGGAACCTCACAGCTAAGAAGGAGAAAAAGCCCTCATATACAGAATAGCATTGCAAAAAGAATTCAGTGCTTTGGAAAACACGGTAACGGCAGGTCTGAGGATGTTACCCCTCCCCGTCCTGGCCGAGGGGAGGTTCCTCCATGCCCACCCCACCTGGGTGAGTGTTCCAGGTGCTGCCAGCCGCAGGGAGGCTCAGGGAAAGGAACGATTCCCCCCTTACGGCTCAGGTGGAGCCCTGAGGAGGACCCGCAGCCTCTCCCAGGCAGAGCTGCAAAGAGCGGTGGAGAAGGGCTGAAGCTGCCCGATAAAGCACAGCCCATCGGGCTCAGGATTGCCTGCCGGGGCCGCAGGGTGATGGTGGAGATGCCAGTCCCAGCAGCAGCCACTGGTGTCCCCCAGGCTGCCACACCGAGGGGCGCAGGGCCCGCCAGCATCGCCCTCTGCTCGCTCCCCACCGAGCCCTTTCCCTGGAGAAGGAAATGTTTCCATTCCGGACGTTGACAAGCAAGCAAGCAACGAGAGCTGAGAAAACAAGCAAACACTCTCAATGACAGAAGTTTCCTTCGAAACCCTTGCTGCTAGATGGCGTGTATTTACACTGTCACCTTCAAGTGTTTTCCCCACCTTGTGCTGAGCTGGCTGGTGCTGTGCTGCACCCTCGCTGTGCCGAGGGACCGGAGGATGGCTGTGCTCAGGACGTGCCCATGGCACAGTGGGAATGCCAGGGACAGCCACACTGGCCACCGGGGCTCCCACTGGCTCCACATCCCAGCTTTCCAGCATGTATCACAGCAATGAGCGTGCCATCTCATCACCCCTTTATTATATCCCCTTGCACTGCATCCCCCTGGATCCAGGACCCAGAGAAAACCAAACCTCAGTCCATTACTACTGCTGCTACTACTACTATTACTACTATTATTATTATTATTATTATTATTATTATTATTATTATTATTATTATTATTATGTTTCAAGTTTTTAAGCCATTCTCACAATGTTGCACAGCCTGACTTGTCATTTCAAGGGCAATAGCAGTTAGTCCTGGGCTCAGCGCAGTTACTGAAGTGCAATGCCTCTGATTTATGGATTCAGGCTTAGCAAAGCAGCAGAACAGGGACAGATCAGCAACTGAGAAGTGAGAGCCTCATCTGCTTCTGAAACCAGACTGAAAAATCCCATGGCAGGAGATACCAAAGAGACAATTCCAGACTTAATGGACTGTTCACTGGAAGTGACGAAGTCAGAGGTATATGCCCTTTCCTACAGCAATACTGAAACCAAGGGAGACAAGCAGCAGTCACACACCTCTCTGGGCTCCTGGGGGCTCTGGACAGTGTCTCACAGCACGTCAGTCCATCAGACCTGCTCCATGAAAGGCAACATGATGGGAGGACTCAACCATAGGCTGCAGCTCACCATTCCCACTGCCAGAACGGCTGCTGCCAGGAGATGCTGATGGGCCATAACAGGTATTTGATACAATCCCCTGTGCTCCACCACTTCAAAGTCAAATCTGGTCTCAGTGGAGGAAAAGCAGATTTATTTGGGAATGTTTAAGTTACTGCCTTACCAGTTACCCAGTGACATCCATGCTCAATTACTTAATTTCTCAGAGAGAAAAAAAATCTGACAAGGTCATTTCATTAAAAAACCTGTGTACTCACCATTCTGTTTCTTTTCAGTAGAGGGAATAGAAAACACCTCTCGGGCACACCTGCCAGCTAAGCCAGCCTGCCCTTCCTTATGGCACTAAGAACGAGGGCACTTTTCTGGAAAGTGGGAGGGATGGAGTCCCTGACAAGCAACAGCCAGGTGTGCTGGGAGCTGTACACAGGGCAGAGAGGAGAAGCCAAAGTGCCAGGTAAGAGCTCTGCCAACTCCCCCTGCACTGCTGACAAAGCTGCTGCCAGCTGGGAAGTAGCACAAATTGGAACTGACAGAGAAATGTGACCAATTCATTATTAATAGCACAACTATTTTTTAATACATAGAAGGCTGTACTAGATTAATAAAAACAGGCTTTTATATTCCTTTCTGACAGCAGTGATGGTGTGTGATCTCCAGAAAATCCAGTGCTACTGATGCTGGCTGTGGCTGTGGCTGGCATCAGGATGCTGCAGCGGATTCAGCCCGGATTTCTCTCCAGGACACTGTAACTCCTGCACACTCCAGAAGGTCACGCAGGCTGAAGCACTCACACAAAAGGTCAGCATGCTG